TTGATTTTTTTACAGAGAGGAAGGGAGAGAGACAGAGAGCCAGAAACATCAATGAGAGACAAACATCGACTAGCTGCCTCCTGCACACTCCCCACTGGGGATGTGCCTGCAACCAAGGTACATGCCCCCGACCGGAATCGAACCTGGGACCCTTCAGTCCGCAGGCCGACGCTCTATCCACTGAGCAAAACCGGTTTCGGCTAAACATGGGACTTTCAAACTGTTTTAAAAGTGTTATGTTGTCGTGAAAGTTTTTAAGGTTACAATGAAAATACCCCGGAGAGAACATTATGAAAATAATAAAGGGTTGCATCTTTGAAGATATTCCCTTCCCCCATAAACCCAAGGAATAGGTCTTACACCTCGGCCTATCCCTCTTCCCCATTACAACCTGTCCTAGCAAAAGCTTGAGGATTAGGGAAGATTCAGATATGGAAACAAGTATTCCAGGCAGTGTACAAAGCCATAATAGTGGGACAAATAGGGAAGTAAAGACGTTTACCTTCAAGTAAAGCATCTGAAGGGAAATATTAGTGGGAAAAGAGGTTGGGAATCTAGATTCAGGTTTGCACTTCATTCTGTGGGTATTTATCCTGTAGGCATTTATGAATTCTAAAGAAGGGAGGAATGACAGCATTGTGCTTCAAGAGGATTACTCTGAAAACAGTATATGAAGTGGATTTGAAGAGGGTAAAATCAAGTTAGAACCCAGTGCAAAAGCCCAGGTGGAAGGTGATGTGGACTACTGCCACTGTAAAACTACATGAACTTTTGAGTGTTACTATCCAATATCTGTGTTAGAGTCTTGCATTTATACACGTCTTCATTATTTATTTATTTATATATAATAGCTGCTTATGATATATAACACAGCAACACTGCACTCTTCTTTTAATTTATAGCAACGAGATTGCATGCAAGATGCAAAATCCCCTAACAGCTTGTTTCTTCAACAGCACATAAGGAAAAATAATAACCACGCCACACATTGTTTACTATTTTGGGCAGTGATGTTACCAAAACCTAGCCAGTCCCAAATTCTTCTTACAGAGTAATGCTTTTTTCTCAGTTACTCTGAAAATTCTTAGATTTCAAAGAAAACCAAAAGCAACCTACCTTGGGATGTGGAGTTTCATATGTTAATGTCTCAGTGCCTAACATTGCACCTTTGGGAATTTTATAAATTCACATGTCACACTGTGAACGCACATGCATGAAGCAGCCTGCCTCTGACCACCTGAAAGCAAACTCATGCTGAATGGTTTTCAAATGTCCCACTCTAGAATTATTTGAAGAAGATGGGCCAACTGTCTATTGATAACGTCATCAAGGCTCTTTTTTTCTTTGTTTGGTAGGATTTTGGATTTTCCTTAGAAAAACGACCTGCCCAATGACTCTCAGTCTTCCTGAGACACAAACAATTGAAGGAATCACATCCATCACATCCTCTCGCGGGAACTAGCTGCCACTCCCACTCAAGAAAGCATATAAGAACCCATGTCAGCCTGAGACACATGTGCTAGGAATAACTCTGAACATGAACTAAAATTTTTAAAGCCAACTTAAGAATGAAATACTTTAGTATTAATCACAAATGATTTGTGTATCTCCTCACAATTAAACACATCTCAACACCTTGCCTTGGTGAGAACTGCTAGACTGATGATGTTATCACCACCAAGCATTACTCAGTGTCAGCAAAGTACACACACACACACCTTACTCCCCCACCCTCCATACACGTGCACATTCCCAGTCTTAACCAGACATAGACTATTACATTTCCTCATTCTAACCTCTGTTTTCAAGCTCTATCAACAATTATAGACAACTGCATAGAATTTTGCCCTTTTATTTTTTAAAAAATTATTGATTGATTTTAGGAAGAGAGAGAGGAAGGGAGAGACAGAGAAACACCAATGTGTTCCACTTATTTATGCATTCATTGCTTTATTTTTGTATGCGCCCTGACTAGGGATTAAACCCACAAGCTTTGCATATTGGGATGATGCTTAACCAACTAAGTGACCTAGACAGGGCCATGCTCTTTAATTTTATGTGTGAGTACAATGAATCACAAAAAATTTTGATTTTGAAAATTAGTTTGGTTACTGAGGACTTACTTTGTTTGTCTGTGTTCCTGAAACTGATTCCAGGGTAATAGATATTCTAAGCCAGCGATTTTCAGCCTTTTGATTCATTCGCACTGGACAGCTATTGTGTTGGCTGTTTATTTGACAGACTAAGGGAAAAGAGGTCAGTGCTCCTGACTAAATAGTCAGGTTTTGCGTGTTTTAAAAAATTCTTGTGGCACACAGGTTTAAAATTGCTATTCTAAACCATCAAGGGAAAACAAGAAAAATGCAAAATATGTTCAAAGGTAGTTTGATGCCTTCTCTCATATAACATCATGAGAATTTGCACACTGATCACAATTTTATCTATTAACAAAATATATTTGGGTAGTCCTGCCATTAACTTTTAAAAAACAGTACAGCCCTAGCTGGTTTGGCTCAGTGAATAGAGGGTTGGCCTGCAGGCTGAAGGGTCCTGGGTTTGATTCCAGTCCAGGGCACATGCCGGGGTTGTGGGCTGGATCCCCAGTATGGAGTGTGCAGGAGGCAGCCAATTAATGATTCTCTCTCATCATTGATGTTTCTATCTCTCTCTGCTTCTCCCTTCCTCTCTGAAATCAATAAAAATATATTGTTGAAAAAAAGATTCTCTCTTTAAAACAAACAAACAAAAGAAAAACAGTACAAGCTGCATACCATTCTGCAGCCAGGAGAAAGAGCGGGATGGGGATCCATTTGTCCGAGCTTGTGAAGGTAAAAGCATGTTTCAGGGTGACTTTCTGGAAACACGTATTTATATTTTAACATATTTTCTTGGTTGGCCACATTCTTATTTATTCGGACACACCGTCAATGTGCATTTTAGGATTTCTTTACTTTTTCATTCAACAAATGTTCTTGAGAATCTACAATATGTTCTACTGTTAGGAATTCAACAGGAATAGAACGCAAATCCTAGCTCTTGTATAGCTTAGTTTCTAGTTGAGGAAAGACATATCTTGAGCAAATAAATAAGCAAAACATATATTGTGCGACAGATGGTGATTCTTTCCATGGAGACAAGAATGCAGGTAAAGGGAAACAAGAGTTCTGGAGTGAAAATTACAGTTCAAATAAGGTAATCAGGAGCCTCACTGAGGAAGTGGCATTTCAGCAAAGACCTGAAGGAAGTGAGGGAGAGAATTCCGTAGTTA